GTTCTCCCCACTCAGCCCTCACACCCAAGTCTCCCCGACCAGCCCTACTCCGCCGGCACCCCCTTTGTCTGCCCGTAGCCCCCCACTCCTCTCCCTCGACCCTCACACATGGACCCGGCGTCCCTTTGCAGTTAGCCGACCGCTGCCCCGCTCTCACCTTGATCTCCTCCACCTGCCGGGTCAGGCGGCTGATCCGGGTGCCCAGATCGTCCTTCTCCAGCCTCCCCGAGTGTGCCAAAACTTCTGTCACGAACGAGGCCATGGCCAAGACGGGATCCAACACTGGCTGGGTCACTTTCTTACAGCCAGCGCAGCGCTCAGATCCCGCCGGCGCCTTTGACGCGCGGCCTGTCGGGAAACGGAGTCTCGCAAGGCCCAGAGTGCCGCAAGAAAGGCGAGAGTCGGACTACAACTCCCAGGAGGCATCGCACCAATCCCAGGGTAGAATTTCCACGGTGTCCTGTAGTTGGCAAAATACATAGACGCGCTTTCCTCCGTAGCTGTCTCCAAATAGTTTGTCGGTTCCTGCCCGTTTTTCACTAGACGAAATTAAACGTCTTCGTCTACTAATCCACCCTAACTGAACTTGTCTTAACTCCAAAGGCTAACTATAAAATTATTTAGCTGAGAGCCAACAAGCCCATCTCAGTCTTTTTTTCATTATTCACACTTATTGAGCCGCAGCGGCATCAGAAGCTATGGATGGCGCCCTCTGGAGTTGTGCAACGAAGCAGAGTCACTACGTTATAAATAAAAGGCTGCCTTTTCCTTTCTTGTTATATCTATGTACGTATATTATTATGCATTCCATCTGTATAATACATTACATCTTTCCTATTACCTGGGTATGCATAACATTGGTCCTATGTGGACTAGAACAAGATACTTAGCACTACAGCGATTTTATCAAAAGCTTTTAAACTTGTTTCATTTTTTTTACTGTATTGCATACAGAAAGATGTTCACAATGTACTATGTAGAGTAGGATGCCTTTGAAAAATAATTGTGAGCCGAGCTCGGTGGCTCAGCCTGTAATCCCGCACCTTTGGAAGGCTGAGGTGAGTGGATTGCCTGAGCCCGCGGGTTCGAGACCCGCCTAGGCAGCGAGACCTCATCTCTACAATAAATCAAAAAATCAGCCGGGCGTGGTAGCGCATGCCTGTAATTCCGGCTACTCGCAAGGATCTCTGGCGCCCAGCAGGTTGAGGCTGCGGTGGCCGGGAGCGGCCACTGCACTCCAGTCTGGGCGACAGAGTGAGACTCCAACTCAAAAAAAACGAACAATAACAAATAATAATAATAATAATAATAATAATAATAATAATAATAATAATAATTGTGTACAAGGAGGGACCCAAAGAAACGGGATTTATTTTTTTTAGTTGTGTATTTATTCTTACATGTTTAAACATCAGTCACCTTCACAGGACTTCTGTTGCAATACAGCTATCAAGATGTTTTTTTTCACCACCATGCACGGTGGCTCACACCTGTAATCCCAGCAGTTTGGGAGGCCAATGTGAGAAAATTGCCTAAGACCATGGATTCGAGACCAGCCTGGGCAACTTTGCAAGACCTTGTCTCTACAGTAAACCAGAAAATAAGATGGGCGTGGTGGCGTGTGCCTGTATTTCCAGCTACTTGGAAGGCAGAAGCAGAAGAATCACCTGAGCCCAGCAGGGAGGCTGTGGTGTCTGTGAGCAGTATGCCACTGCACTCCAGCCTGGGTGACAGAGTAAGACTCCGACTCAATATATACATACACAGATGCTTCTTTTCACTGTTCAAAACAGTTTTTGAACTTGTCGATTTTGATGCCTTTTAGCGCTTCTGTCATTTTTTGTTTCACCTCCACTGCATCAGCAAAACGTTTCCCTTTGAGGACTTCTTTTCACCCAAGGAAACAAAAATACAGTCACTTAGGGTGATACAGGGTGAATAGGAGGATTGCATGGGAGTCATGCTGTTTTTTGGTCAGAAACTGCCGAACAATCAGCACAATGTGGGCAGGTACATTGTCACAGTGGAAGAGCCAGCCATCTGTTTGTCACAACTTGAGACGTTTCTTCTGCAAATCGTGATGCCCAATAACACTGGCTGGTCTACTGATGCTGATGGGTTCCTAGAACACTTATGTAGCAGGGGAAGCCTGTACTGCAAGGGGCCCACCCTCCCAAAGATAATTCTGGGTATTTTGGGGGGGTCTCCCCTCATATAGAATAAAGGATTTCTCTGGGTGGTGGACTTATGGTGTTTATTCTCTCTCCTCTTTCATTGCTTTTCTAGTTTTCTTCGGTAAATATATACAGCAATTCCTTGGTATAGAGGAATTGATTTCAGAACTTCCCATACCAAAATTTATGAATGCTCAAGTCCCTTATTTTAAAAATGGCATAGGCCAGGCACAGTGGCTCAAGCCTGTAATCCCAGCACTTTGGGAGGCTGAGGTGAGGGGATGGCCTGAGCCCACGGGTTTAAGAAAAGCCTGGGCAACTTGGTAAGACCTCTCTCTACAATAAACCAAAAACTTATGGTATGGTAGCACACACCTGTAGTTCTGGCTACTGGGGGGGGGTGAGGCAGAAGGATCGCCAGAGTCTGACAGGTTGATGCTGGGGTGGCCATGTGTATGCACTCCAACCTGGGCAACAGAGTGAGACTGCGACACAAAAAAAAAAGAAAGAAAGAAAACGGCATAGTTGGGTGCAGTGGATCACTCCTACAATCCCAGCACTTTGGGAGATGGAGGAGGGAAGATTGCCTGAGCCCAGGGGTTCAAGACCAGCCTGGGCAACATGGCGAGACCTCGTCTCTACAATTAATAAAAAATTAGCAGGACGTGGTGGCACACACCTGTAGTTCCAAGTACTTGGAAGGTTGAGGTGGAAGGATTGACTGAGCCCAGCAGTTCGAGGCTGCAGTGGCCATAAGCATACCACTACACTCCAGCCTGAGCGACAGAGTAATACTCCAACTCAAAAAAAAAAAAAAAAAGGCATAATGTTTATAAATGCCAATGTACATTCCCCATATGCTTTTTTTTTTTTTTTTTTTTTTTTAGAAAGGAGGATTTATTGAGAGGACAGAAAAGTTCCCACAGTGGAGTTGCCCATCCCATATACTTTTAATCATCTCTTGATTACTCATAATACTTAACACAAGTCAATATAAATGCTTGTGTTATTGCTATTTTTATTAGCTTTTTTTTTCCCAACTTTTTTTGATCTATGGTTGGTGGAATCTGTGGCTGCCAAGGGCCAACTGTACTGCTTTGATTAGAAGGTTATCTTTCACCTTTAAAAAAGTATCTTGTGAGGGTTGGCCCCAAGGTAGCACTGACCCTAAAGTCTCTGACGGTTTTTTTTTTTTTTTTTGAGTTGGAGTCTCACTCTGTCGCCCAGACTGGAGTGGGTGGCCGCTCCCGGCCACCGCAGCCTCGACCTGCTGGGCTCCGGCGATCCTTCCGCATCAGCCTTCCAAGTAGCTGGAATTACAGGCATGCGCTACCACGCCCAGCTGATTTTTTGATTTATTGTAGAGATGAGGTCTTGCTGCCCAGGCGGGTCTCGAACCCGCGGGCTCAGGCAATTCACTCACCTCAGCCTCCCAAAGGTGCGGGATTACAGGCTGAGCCACGGAGCCCGGCTGTCTCTGACAGTTTTAAGTGTCTGTAAGACACGCTGCTTTTCCTAGTGAAGCAGGGGCAACTTCCTGTGCCATGAACAAAGGAAATAATACTGGGGTTAAGACAGGAAGCATTATTATTCACAATAGCAAAAACATGGAACCAACCGTGCTGCCTTCATGCTGGATAAAAAAAATGTGGTGCATATACACAATGGAATATTATGCAGCTATAAAGAGGGACAAAATTATGAACTTCACAGCAATTTGGATGAACTTAGAGGCTATCATACTGAGCGATCTATCACAGAAACAAAGAGTGAGTATCACATGTTCTCACTCATAATGGACCTTGAACTGTCATAATACTATGAGAAAGGGATTGGCAGTAGTAGGAAATTGCCAGGGGAGGCGGGGGGCACACCTCATCAATAAGGTTACCTGTGTAATGAACATTTGTATACCTAACCCTGAATTGTATCCCACATCTTTAAAATAATAATTATAATTTTAAAAAGACAGAAAGCATTGAAGACAGTCCTAACTCCTGGGACATGCCTCTCCTTGGAAAACCTAATCAATTTCTGTTTGGTAGACCTGTCAGCCTTACTTTGAATTTTAAAAGCCACTAATAGCATGTGCCCAGTGACAAAGAAGGATCTATAGATGAAGTTTCTGAAAACTCGTATGTTTATTATGCAATTATTGCATAGCAGACACTGGGCTAGGTCTGGGGGATCTAAAACATGTGAATAAATGATCATAGGAAAATATGACAATTACTCTATTGTAGATAGATATGAAATGGATCCAGATTTAGGAGGACCTAAATCTTATACAGTTGCAGAGAAGAGGAGGAGCCTTTTAAGGAAAAGGAGATAAAATAATGAATATAGGCCTGGTTGAATGGCTCATGCCTGTAATCCCAGCACATTGGGAAGCTGAATTTAAAGGATCGCTTGTGGTCAGAAGTTCAAGACATGCCTGGGCAACATAGTGAGTCCTCGTCTCTACAAAGAATCAAAAAATTGCCTGGGCACAGTGGCACACACAGGTAATTACTATGACTCAGGTGGGAGGATCACCTGAGGTTGGGAGGGAGGTGGAAGGATCAACTGAGCCCAAGAGGTTGAGACTGCAGAGAGCTATGATAATACCACTACACTCCAGCCTGGCAACAGAGCAGGACCCCATCTCTAAGATAGATAGATAGATGGGGATAGATAGATAGATAGATAGATAGATAGATAGATAGATAGATGAAAGAAAAACTAAACGCAGGCCTTAGAAGAGGCCTCTGCAAGCAAAGTGCCATGAAGCTTCATCTACTTCTGCAGAAAGTGCAAAGGGCAGAGGAAATACTTAAAGAGAAGCACCCAGTCTCTGACTGAATCAGAGAGTTTTCAGTGTTAAATAAAACTGACCATGCACAGTGGATTGATCATGCCTGTAATCCCAGCACTTCACAAGGGTGAGGCAGGAGGATCGCTCAAGTCCAGGAGTTCGAGACCAGCCTACGCAACATAGCAAGACTTGGTCTCTATTAAAAAAATAAAAAGTTAAAAAGTTAACCAGGCATGGTGGCCTGCTCCTGCAGTCCCAGCTTACTCGGGAGACTGATGCAGAGGGATCGCCGGATCCCAGGAGGTCGAGGCTGCAGTGAGCCATGATAGTGCCACTGCACTCCACTCTGGGCTACAGAGTAAGGCCTGACTCAAAAAAATAAAAAATACGAGCTGGGCACGGTTGCGCAGCCTGTAATCCCAGCACTTTGGGAGGCTGAGGCGAGTGGATTGTCTGAGTCGGTGAATTCAAGACCAACCTGGGCGGTTTGGTGAGCCCTCGTCTCTACAATAACTAGAAAATTAGCCAGGAGTGGTAACACGTGTCTGTAGTTCTGACTACTTGGAAGGCTGAGATGGAAGAATCGCTGGAACCCGGTGGTTCGGCACTAGGGTGGCCGTGAGTGTGCCACTGCACTCCAGCCTGGGCAACAGAATGAGACTCAAACTCAAAAAACAAGAAAAGAAAAGAAAAAGATTATCTGTAATAAAACATAAAAAGAAAAAGAGCATTCCAGATGATTCTCTCTGTCTTCCTCCCTCCTCACACCACTGGTAATCACTGGTATACCAGATTGTGTGGGCATTGAGACAAGTCAAGGTCCTCCTTTCTTAGGAGACCCTTTTTTCTTTTTTTTTTGAGTTGGAGTCTCACTCTGTCGCCCAGACTGGAGTGCAGTGGCCGCTCCCGGCCACCGCAGCCTCGACCTGCTGGACTCCGGCGATCCTTCCGCCCCAGCCTTCCAAGTAGCTGGAACTA